GGTAACATTCAGGATCTGAACCAGTTCAATAAATCATTTTACCTGACAACCATTGTGGGTAACATTCAGGATATGAACCAGTTCAATAAATCATTTTACCTGACAACCATTGTGGGTAACATTCAGGATATGAACCAGTTCAGTAAATCAGTACCTGCTCCATCAAGCTTCGTTTTCATATCTATCGTACTGGACTGGAGCTTTAGATGTTATAACCTGTAATCACAGGAAATATCATGCTAAAGGCGCGAAGAATTGTTAGACTAATATACCCAACAGAAAAGCGTGAGTGCCTCAGAACAGCACGTCAATGACTGGAGTTCACCAACTTATTGTAATGTAAATTATGTAACTTCGTGACCATAAAAAAAAAAATGTCATTCGATCAAAATAACATGTTATCGCAGGATAAGCGGCTAATATATTCTACCATAAATCAAAAGGTAGCTAAGAACTTATAATAACATTAATTAGAGATTACTTGTGTGTGAAAGAGGAGGAGACGTAGCTCTGATAGCTGAAAACTAATTCTGCATCTTCTCTATATAAAGAGTTGTAAGTCGAAATCTGAACGAAAAGATTACTAGTACGATATTTTTTCCAATTTAAAGAACTCTGCAACCTGTATATATGCATATTGTGTCTAGTTTTTTATAAAATTAAATGCTAATTGTTTTTATCTTGTGGTTTATGATTACTGATACATGTTTTGAAGACGGAATCGTTACTTTAAATGAATAAGGATTGCCTGTTGTATTTGATATTTTTGTCACTTTTAGCGTGTAGGAACTGTCATGTAGTTGGTGTCTCTTCTTACTTTTAGCGTGTAGGAACTGTCTCGTGTAGTTGGTGTCTCTTCTTACTTTTAGCGTGTAGGAACTGTCTCGTGTAGATGGTGTCTCTTCTTACTTTTACCGTGTAGGAACTGTCTCGTGTAGTTGGTGTATTTTCTTACTTTTAGCATGTAGGAACTGTCTCGTGTAGTTGGTGTCTTTGCTTGCTTTTAGCGTGTAGGAATTGTCTGGTTTAGTTGGCGTCTTTTCTTAGTTTTAGCGTGAAGCGGAAGTCCTGTTAGTTTGGATTTTTTGCTACTTGTAGAATGTATGGACACTTGTAGTCTCTTGTAGTTGTGTTACTTTTATCGTGTAGGAAAAGCATACTTAGAAGATGTTTTTTCTTACGATTTATTATGTATGGACATCTTCCTGTAATTTGTGTTGCTTATTATATGTAATATACAGGGAAAGCCTTCTGTACTTTGTGTTTATAATTACGTGAGGCTTGACGTAAAGATTATCGTTTGAAGTGGTAACTATTTTTCATTATTGTAAATGAGTTCACGCTGTTTCCTTCATGTAATGTTCCTCGTACTTTTTTAAGAAAAGGTTGTTTGTTTTTTTCAATTATTTTTCTTAATCAACTGAGTAGCAATATTCTTTTGTATGCATTTAATATTTGTTTTCTTAATTTTAGCAGTAGTAGTTGAAACCTGCAGTTAAATTCTTTATTATTTTTGAATAATTGAAGCTTGTCCTGTAGTTAATCTTTAAAGTACGTTTACTTAGTAGGGACTACATCCTACTGTTGGTGTTTGTTGTTTAGTGTTAAAGCTGATTTGTCAGCCCTTTCAGCCGTGTGGGGGGGGGGGGGGTGTTATAATGTGACGATCAATCCTACTATTCGTCTGTAAAATAGTAGTCCAAAAGTTGGCGGTGGGTGGTAACGACTAGCCTTTCCCTCTAGTCTTTCACTGCTAAATTAGGGACGGCTAGTGCAGACAGCCCCGTGCAGCTTTGAGCGAGATTCAACCCAAACCTTTTTTTTTTTATTGGACGGAGTCTACTTCTACAACGGATGCTGTTATTAGTGCTACAGGCCACCGCCTGTCAGGAGTTCATTGCGTTATTTACAATCTGCTTTTGTCTACTCGTTGTTACTGTATTTTGGGATAAGTATAGGTTACATTCTTCACTCTTGTAGTCGGTATTTGTCGTTGTCTCAGATGAAAGGAAGGTTTTGTCGTTATATTCTGTATTTTATAGTTGTTGTTACTTCAGGAATTTTGTTGTTTTACGTTTTGCATTATTCAAACTGTCGACAGTTATTCTTATTCTATGTAAGAGAAGACGTTCCTAATGGTGACAAATTTAACAGCCAGTGAACAATATATTTTAAAGCTTTAAACATGTCATTTTTTTGCAGTTTTGGGAGTATTCAGAAAAGACCAACTTCTACCGAACATTTTATACTGGCTGTATTTTGCGGCGTACTTTCTACTTCAGTTGAAGCCTCTTACCGCTAGATGGACAAACAGGTGATAACAAAGTTAGTCAACAGGACACCAGATGGCAGGTGGATCGATCACAGAAGGTTTTGGGACTGGGACCAACGACTGTGGATATTTTGAAACCAAATAAAGACGTGTTGTTTTTCGCAAGATGCGCGTCGAATCAAATTTGCTTTTAAAATATCAATATCAGAAGTTTAATTCCTTCTAGAAAAGTATAATTTGACTTCATGGATCAAAATGTGGAAAAGAAGAACGGGCATGCGATTTTTGACACATTTTATATTATATACTTATGTCAAAAATGCTCGAAGCAAAATACGTGTATAGTATTCTGGTTCCTGGTAGAATATAAGCGAAATAAGATAAAGTAATATAAAGTGTAGTTTTTAAGGATACCTAGTTGAATTTAAAAAGCATTCTTAAGAAACAACCAGCAGCGTAAACTATACCCGTTCTCAAATAATATAATATTTAGATATTTTAGTGTGGTGTTAATGGTCATATTCTATTTTATGTTTTACTTTTGGGTTGATTAAATCATGTTCTACTGGTTGTTTTATCAATAAGATATTGTAAAAGAACATCTACTTATAGTTAACGTGATTTATGAGAAGCGCCACATTGGCATCCGCCATCTTGGGCGTCTAACCATGATAAGTTTTGTGACTTATCAAATGTCAGTAATTTCTATAATTAATAAACAGTATGATGCTTATGCAATATTTAGTGACAAAGTTCAAATTTATACAAATATTACTTAACAGATCTATTCTGATAACCTTCACAAAATATGCACTGTAGATAGGGGAATACTGTGAAGGTTATCTCATAACTTTATCGTCCCATACTGATCTGTTGTTTATTATTTATTACAAGATACAGATTACTCTTTGCCATTTCCATTCAGTTAACCGTGATTATCCACATGATTTACGATGTTTTTTTTGTTTGATTTATTGCTTAATGAATAAATATATATTAATTATAAAGTTGTACGATTGTTAACCCACTTATTGAACTTTATTTTTTCAATTACTAGTTTAAGAATAGATGTAAGCTACGAAATTTAGTATTTCGTAATTCAAAAGTACTAGATATCTGGTTAATATAAGTTATAAGATTAATTAAAATCATATCAGTGAAATAAACATCAATATAAGTACATTGTGCTAAATGTGATCTTCAAAATTATCAAATACTTGGTAAACAACACTATTTAAACTGTATTTCAAAGAAATCTATCCTAACGTGGTATACTTATGATTTAACAACTTTTCATTTGTCAAGAATTTGGCGTTTTATTGTATTAGCTAGAGAATAAAGTTTTACCGTGGGACACAAGTCTTTCTGAAAATAGCAGTAGTTGTTTAAACACTAATAACGTGCAATATAAGACAGCAACATTACTTATAACGCTAAAAATCGGGGGTTCGATACCCACGGTAAGCATAGTACAGAAAGCCCGTTGTGTAGTTTCGCGGTTAACATAAACAAAAAAAAAAAAACGTAATATAAAAAGCGAAAAGACGAGACAGCTTTGGGAGCGTATTCTTTTCATGTCATAATTCAGTAGGAAATGTAAGGAATCCTGCAGTTTGATAATCGGTCAATATTATGGCCCGGCATGGCCAGGTGGTTAAGGCACTCGACTCGCAATCTGAGGGTCGCGGGTTCGAATCCCTCTCACACCAAACATGCTCGCCCTTTCAGCCGTGGGGCCGTTATAATGTGACGGTCAATCCCACTATTCGTTAGTAAAAGAGTAGCCCAAGAGTTGGCGGTGGGTGGTGATGACTAGCTGCCTTCCTTCTAGTCTTACACTGCCATATTAGGGACGGCTAGCGCAGATAGCCCTCGTGTAGCTTTGCGCGAAATTTACAAACAAACAATAAATATTACGTTCAATTTTAATATTGTTGAGATGTGTGCATCGGTTTCCATCTGTAATAATCAGTTTTTTATTTTATTTTCTTTATTTACTTACCAGAATAGCTACACTCATTTAAAAACTTCTTCTTTTGAAATAATGCTTTAATATAAAAAAATACAAATTTTCTTCCATACGTTACTGCGCAAGTAATTAAACTAAATTTGCCGAATTTAGGCTTAAGGAACTTTATCAATTTCACAGTCATATTTTTACTTTAAATGTCTTCAATGTGGAACGTTTTGTGAACAGGTATCAGCACATTTATTTATTCTAACACAGGATGAATTTCTTCTCGTATCGATTTTGCGGGGAAAGTACTCGTTCTTAGTGCTGACGCTGAAATAATATATTTTAATTAAACCACAAGTGCTCGACTTTCGTATTTATCATGAATTTTTAACAAAAAGTTTGTTTGTTTGTTTGAAGTTAAGCACAAAGCTACACGATGGGCTATCTGTGCTCTGGCCACCATGGGTATCGAACCCGGTTTCTAGCGTTGTAAGTCCGCTGACATACCGCTGTGCAACTGGGGGGCTTAACAGAAAGAAAAAGTGTTTTGAATTCCAATAATTTACACTAACGCATTATCTGAAACAGCGCCCCCTATTCCAAAATTTAAAAAGGGTGTCCTCCACTACCTCAGATATGATCTACTTATAATCATTACAATGCAAGACTAATAACTTGTCACTAATCAATATTTAATATATATTGTGATGCAAAAGTTACGCATCTTATATTTCTAAGTTATATTTGCCATGATTTACTAAGTTTTTTTAGTTTGTTACAATAAGTTATTGGGATTTAATTAACCTCGCAAAGGCGTCTGGGAGTATTTCTGCTTGACTTGAAACCAACAGTGCACGTTTCGAATAGTTGTAAGTGTAGTACTTTGAAAAATCATGGTGATACGTACCTTTTGCATCACCCTGTATTATTTATTTATATTTGATACTTGCATATATATATAGAAAGAGAGAGACGTATCCCTGAGATGAGTCAGCAGTAAGACTTTGGGCTTACAGTGTTAAAATCTGGGATTCGATTCCTTGTGGCGAGCAGGTATTCCATTGGGTAGCTTTTGTACTAAGATAAAATAACAACTCTCTAAGTAAAATAACAAGCGTGTTATGTCAGTCCTCCAACCATTCTTATCCATTCTCGATTTACAAGCTAAAACTTCGGCACGCGCGATCAGCAGAAATATATTTGATTATTAAATTTTCCTAAAATAGAAAAAAAAAAAAAGTTGTGCTTCCTTACCCATCCGACAATTTTTTCGTTACCTCATCAGCCCCGTGTCTCAGGTTAGAAACCGCTGAACTATAAAATATTCAATGAAATCAAACATAAAAATCCAGCATACTTTTAAAATGTAACTTTCAAATTATCATTCATGTGCGATAAACTTGATATATTTTCATCATTTCCTGATAAATATTTACCGTACAAACATATATTTGTTACCATCAGTCCCATGACCCCTCCCTGGTAAACATTTACCGTACTAATATAATAATCACCATCAGTTCCATGACCTCTCCCTGGTAAACATTTACCGTACTAATAAAATCGTTACCATCAGTCCCATGACCCCTTCCTGATAAACATTTACCGTACTAATAAAATAGTTACCATCAGTCCCATGACCCCTTCCTGATAAACATTTACCGTACTAACATAATAGTTACCATCAGTCCCATGACCCCTTTCTGGTAAGCATTTACCGTACTAATATAATAGTTACCATCAGTCCCATGACCCCTCCCTGGTAAACATTTACCGTACTAATATAATAGTTACCATCAGTCCCATGACCCCTTCCTGATAAACATTTACCGTACTAACATAATAGTTACCATCAGTCCCATGACCCCTCCCTGGTAATATTTTACCATACTAATATATTAAGAGTCATCATCAGTCCCATGACTCTTCCCATTAGTCAAATCAATGTGATCTGACCTAGTTAGAAGTGTAGTTTGGTAGATGAGAACATTGTATAAACTAAAGAGTCCTTCAACATTTTTCTCCAACTTCTTTCATATTTTTGTTTGTTTGTTATCTCGATTGTTGTTATTTTCCCCAGTAATAATAGTTCTGGTTATGTAAAAAGCAAACTTATGTTAATTTTGAAAAGGCCTTAGTCACTTCCGACAAGTATGTCATTCTATCCCTCCCCCCCAAAAAAAAGAGCAAACAACCACACATATGTTAATGTGTACTGTATAATTCATTTAATTGTTTTACACAGAAATCAGCTGATGTTATCAATCTTGTGCTTCCTTACAGTCTGAGAGTAAAAATCGTTTTGTTCAATTTGTATCCGGCGGATCATACACTATAATGAATGTGAAGTAGATATCCATATTTAACGAGGTATAGTTATTCTAACTACTATAAAAGTGATTGTTATAATGTAATGTGTAACAAGAGTAAATAAAAGATTTTTTTACAATAATCCCATATTTTAGTGGTGTTTTAACTAAATTAAACATCGGAGAAAATAATAGTAACATCAGTAATATATTTACAGTTAATAAAAGTAGAAGAACGTTTCCAGATTTATCATATAAATTACCGAAAATTTTCACAAAGAAAATATTTAAAAAAAGAAATATCGATCTGCTATCTAAAGTGTTACCAAACAAAATTATTTCAAGAAGAGCAAAAAACATGTCTAGGACAAGCTGGTGACGCAGCAAAGCTTAGCTACACAAGGCTGAACAAACATTTGTACATTTTGTGAGTTCTAGTTACCAATTAACTTGCCAAAATATCGCCTATTCACATTTAAAATTAGCATTGAATCGGAAAACTTCGGAAGGTACAGAGCCAAGCGCGGTCCAATTCTTAACTTGTTAGTTTTTAGTTCGCGTCTCGTTACCAACACCAACAACAACAAAAAAAACTCTCAATATTTGATTTGACAAGAGTAGCCCAAGAATTGACGGTGGTTAGGGTTAACTAACAGCATTTCCTCTATTCTATTACTTCAAAATTAGAGACATTTAGCACTGACAGTCTTCGTGTAGTTTGGCGCGATATCCATCACACACACAATCAATTTTGTAAAAAATGTTGTTCGCGTTCTCACGAAAGAAACAACTCGTATACAAGGTGGAAGATAAATATTGTGAACGTTTCGAGGTTGAAGATTTTTCGAAACGAAAATATTTTTTTTGTAAACTCGACAGAGAGTAATGAAAATCAGTTTTAGTTGCATACTTTTTGTCGAATAAATGTTAGATAAGTATTTTTGTTTAACAAAGTAGCATCATATTTTATGTTGATTTCACTTCAGCGAGTCTCAGAACTGACAGCGAGGTTTAACAACTTCAAGTTGGAATTAAATAAACTATAATGTGACAGCAACTTCCATTAGACATTAGTGAAGGAAACTTAAGTTAGAGGTCAATGAAGACATCTTGAAACACCAATAACAAATGGTGCTGCAAGTTAGAATATTATTGTGAAGACCATGAAACTTCAATTACAAACAAAGTATTCGTGTAAACTATATGAAACATGAAATACGAAATTAAACCGTACAAAACCATTATTGTGAAGACCATGAAACATGAAATACGAAATTAAACCGTACAAAACCATTATTGTGAAGACCATGAAACTTCAATTACAAACAAAGGATTCGTGTAAACTATATGAAACATGAAATACGAAATTAAACCGTACAAAACCATTATTGTGAAGACCATGAAACTTCAATTACAAACAAAGGATTCGTGTAAACTATATGAAACATGAAATACGAAATTAAACCGTACAAAACCATTATTGTGAAGACCATGAAACTTCAATTACAAACAAAGGATTCGTGTAAACTATATGAAACATGATTAAATCATACAGAAGAATAATTATAGCTTTACAAGCAGAGGCGTCGCTAGGCGTTGGCACACAGGGCCTACCCTGATTTTAATTGACAATGGCCAGGATCCCAAGTTTGTGTCTTGAAAAATCAGAATAGAAAACTATGATCGATATCATACTGAAATGCCGAAAATCCCGCGTCTATAGTTCCTAGCCTTGAATCTTTTAAGCATCTAGCGACGCCTCTGTCTACAAAAATGATTTGCATATGATAATATAGCGACGAGTCGAGTGCCCTAACCACCAGGCCAAGCTAGGCCTAAGTCTCCGCGGTATTTAACATAGTTATAAAGCTAGTATTACAGTACGTTTAAATGTAAACTAGGCCTACAAATTTAATTTGATCAAATCTATCGTAATTGAGTAAATTTCATGTTTTATTTATTCTTCACTCAATCAATAACTTTAAGAACATGAAATAATATGCCAATTGTGAATTTTAGCAGATTAGATGTTAAACTTACCAATGACCCAAATCTGACGGTAGTTCTACGTTATATTTCTTTCAAATACTGATGACCTTTCTCAACCAATGTCTCGAATATAAAGTTCCCACAATTCCAATACACTTTTAACTGTTTGAGGCAATACGCTATATCTAGTAATGCTCAATTATACCTATGTCTATATCCATGTTTCTGTGTTTAATTTAATTTATAATTCTTCCCACAAATCATGGCAAGATAATTCAAAATTGTTGACCTACACAAAAAAAATCTTAAAAGTCGTAAGGGGATCCATGAATGGGGATCAGTGAAGTTCTGGGTATCTCTCTGGTTTGAATAAGTCGATTTAGTTGAAAATTGGTTTTAGTTTGTCAGAAATCTTTAAAAAACTCAAATTTTGAAAATT